CCACGAATGTTGTGTATGTAAGTTTATGCAAATGGCGTCTTCAAAACAGTTGGCAACTCCTCAGAAAGTTAGGTACACTTTTCACTTGATTTTAGCCAAAAGGCCAAGAAACGATGTAGGTACACTTTCAACTGAGGATTTTGGGTTTACTTTTGTTATTGTTATTGGGTTTGGGGTGTTTTGCTTGTTTGTTTAGGTATGTTTTTCTTTATATGAAATTCAGGATAAGTAAGTCTACAAGAGACAGTAACTGGATTCATGGGTTCTTGAGGTTGGGGGAAATGGGGTGCTAATAACAAAATACAAGAAAGAAGAAAATGTTCTACAATTGATTGTAGTGATGATTGCACAACTCTTCAATATGTTTGAACTATTGTATGATGTGTGAATTATACATCAATAAAACCTACTTTTTTTTAAATTAAAAAGTACTAAAATACAAATCCTTGTAAAAACAAATGATAGAGTCTGTGCCATGTTGAGAGTCATAAGAGAACATTTACTAGAGTCACAAAGTGTTATTACAATACTACTTTGCAAAGATAGCCCTTTTTTCTGCCTTAAGACTGTCGGTTGCCCCAAGACTAGTCTTAAGTGACTGCTGGGCACTTGAAATATGACAAGTGCCACTAAAGAATCAAAATTTTTATTTTAATTTCTATAGATACATATGACTGCTGGCTGCGATATTGAACTGTCTGCATCTATATCTTTCTAAGAAGAAAACAGTGTGAGTCCATTACCCCCTAAAAATTCATGGTTATGCGAAGACAAGAGACACAAACACACATACACCTACATGCTAGAGATGCACGTCTGAATCAGATGGTGATTCCCCATCTTCTGGTGATCTGCGGCAATTCGTATGGTCCAAGCTGCTACTTGAGTCTTCGCCGTTGGTCTCATGGCTTTGTGCCCTAATGATCGTTAGCACCTTACAAGGATCAGAATTATGGGCATTACGGTCCCCATTTACTATTAGGACTAAGACTCAGGGGGAACTTCTGAATAGAGAAGGATCAAAGAGGGATCATTGCCCAATTCCTTGCCTTCCTTTTGAGCTGTATCCTGTGTGGGGGTCAAAGGTGCTGAGCCACAGGAATCTTGAAGGAAAATGTCCCTAACGTCAGTGATGAGCAAGATCCAGCACTGGAGAGGATGAAGAAAATTGGAAAAATCTCGTGCATTGTGTCGGGGCATTTAAATAGTACAGCTGCTTTGGAAATTGGCTGCCAGTTTCCCAAAAAGCTAAGTAAAAAGTTATCATATGAACCAGCAATTATAATCTTAGATTTACAAATATACCCAAGAAATGGAAAACATATGTTCATGCAAAAGTTTGCAAATTAATCAGTATCAGCAATACTGATAATAGCTGAAAAGTAGAAACAACACAAATGACCATCAGCTGGTAAAGGGTAAACAAAATGTGGTTTAATCCATATGATAGAATATTATTTGACAATGAAAAAAGAATAATATGCTAGTGCATGCTACAACACGATGAGCCACAAAACTAAGTGAGAGGAGCCACATGCAAAAGAGCCATATAGTATGATTTCGTTTATTCTGAATTCTAGAAAAGGCAAATCTATAAAGGCAT